TAAATTGTTGAGACTGGTCTCAAATTTGATATCCTCCTTTTTTTTTGGGTGGGGGGTGTATTGGGAATTTAACCCAGGGACAATTTACCATGAAGCCACATTCCCAGTCATTTTGTTTATTTTTATTTTGAAACAGGGTCTCACCAAGTTGCTGAGGGTCTGGTTAAATTACTGAGGCTGGCCCTGAATTTACAATCTCTTGCCTCATCTTCCAGAGTCACTGGGATCACAGGCTTGTATCACTGCTGCCCAGATTAACAATGGACTATTATTCAGCCTTAAAAGTGAAGCAAAGGACTGGGGCTGGGGCTGGGGCAGAGCGCTAGCCTAGCATGTGGGGCGCCCTGGGTTCCATTCTTAGCCCAGCACACATAACAAATAAAATGCAGGCATGCCAGTGCCTCTGCAACTGCAAAATACAAATAAATAAATAGAGGAGAAACCAGGCGTGGTGGTGCAGGTCTGTGGTCCCCAATGGGGTGTCTGAGGACAGGCCCCAGCGTCTGGGTGGCTTGGCCACCTTCTGTGTGAGTCTGCTCCTCAGCTAGGAAGAGCGCCCCATGCTTCCCAGGGCTGCAGGGGGGCGGGTGGTGGGGAGCTCTACTGCTACACCCACCCAGATCCTCCCTTCCTCTCTTGCCTTCCCTTCTCCCTGCTCCCTTCCTCTCAAATCAGACCCTCTGCTTGCCTTTGGCTTTCTTCCTGCCAAGTGTCCTGCCCTCTCCTGCAGTCCAGCTCAGCAGGAGCTGGACACAGAGCCCAGGCAGGCGGGCGGGCAGGGGCCACGACTTGGGCAGGGCGTCTTCTGGGTGTCAAAGCCCAGAATCACAACAATGTAGTTCAAGTATCTTATTTGGCTTTCTTTTTAATGCTAGAATCAGGCAACACATTCGTTCCATAAAACAGGTCGAGTGTACCAGTGAGCCGAGCAAAGGAACTTGGCTTCACTGACAGAAGGACTGAAAGAGGCAGAAACGGGGTGGTACATACCTGGGTTCCCAACTACTGGGGAGGCTGAGGCAGAGAATGGCAAGTTCCAGGCCAGTCTGGGCAACTTAGTGAGACCCCCATCTCAAAATAAAAAGGGAAGGGGTATAGCTCAGTGGTAGAGCACTTGCCTCGTGTGTGCGAAATCCTGAATTTAATCCCTAGTACTACAAGAAATAAAATTTTTAAAAATGAAGCAGAGGGGCTGAGGCTGTGGCTCAGTGGTGGAGCACTTGCCTGGCATGCGTGAGGCACTGGGTTCGATCCTCAGCACTGCATATACATAAATAAAAAATAAAGGTTCATCAACAACTAAGAAATATTTTTAAAAAAATGAAGCAGAAACAAATTACGAAGAATAGATTGGTCTTTCCCGCGCCCCCTCTTTGGTACTGGGGATTGAACTTGGGGATGTGTAACCACTGAGCCACATCCCCAGCCCCCCTATTGTTTTTAATTGAAATGGGGTCACCCTAAGTTGCTTGGGGCCTCACTAACTTGCTGGGGCTGGCCTTCAACTTGGGTTCTGCCTGGCTCAGTCTCTAGAGTTGCTGGGATTACAAATGTGCACCACGGTGCCCTGCCTGGATTGGTGATTTCAAAGTGACTTTCCATATGAGGCAGAATAGGGACACACAGAACCACAGGAAAGTAGAAGTTTGGTCAGCATCGGGTGCTCCAGGTTTCTTTTTTTGGCTCCCAGCGAGCAGGGAGCCCATCGTGTGATTGAAACTGGCCTGTCCTCTCTCTAGTCCATCTTGCCTTCCGCTTCTCCCTGCTCCCTCCCTTGTCAGATCAGACCCTCTGCTTGCCTTTGGCTTTCTTCCTGCCAAGTGTCCTGCCCTCTCCTGCAGTCCAGCTCAGCAGGAGCTGGACACAGAGCCCAGGCAGGCGGGCAGGCAGGGGCCACGACCTGGGCAGGGCGTCTTTGCTGACAGTGGATGGAATCAGCTTCTCTGCGGGTCATGTGACAGCTTGGAATCTGGCTTGGAGATGTGAAGCTTTAGCACAGAGACAGCAAGAAAAAAGTATTTTTATTGCACAGTCACCAGAGAGGCCGAGAGGATGCTGGGAGAGAAGCGCCAGAGCCAGGAGTCTGGTGGGGTTTGGGCCTGTTCTTTTCATGGTCTCTGGAATCTCCTCTCTTCCTTATCTCCTCCCCTGTCCATGTGATCCTCACTATTATTGATTGGTCCTCCTATGTCCATGCATCTGTTTGAGTTTTCTATTGGAAAACTAAATAGAAAAACCTTTGTATTTTTCCACAGAGGCCCAGGGATTCTCCAGAAGCCTTTGTTCTCAGACTAGGGTAGCACAGTTGGTCCCTCCTGTTCTGGGGCTTCAGCCTCTTGGACTGCGCAGCTACTCGTTCTCCCTGCTCTCCAGCCTGCAGATGGCCACGCGGGACTGTCCAGCTTCTGGTGGTGTGAGCCAGCCTGATAAATCCCCTTTTTATAATTATACTTCCTGTTGATTCTGTCCCTCTAGAGAGCCCTGACTAACACAGAACAACTGTGTGCTTAGAGGCATGAAGCCCGAGAGTCCCTGGCTTTCAGCCTCCTCCCAGCATCTCCAGGCTCCTCGTGCACCATAGCAGCTGCGCTGTGGGCTGAGAGGCTGCCTCATGACTTTCTTTTTTCGTTTCTGGTGCTGGAGATGGGACCCAGGGCCTCACACATGCTAGTGAGCAATCTACCTCTGAGCTACACCCCCAGCGCTTTTTATTTCATTTGATTTTGAGATAGCATCTTGCTAGGTTCCTGAGGCTGGCCTCAAACTTGTGATCCTCCTGCCATTGCCTCTCAAGATATATATATATATATATTTTTTTTTTAGAGAGAGAGAGAGAGAGAGAGAATATTTTAATATTTATTTTTTAGTTATTAGCAGACACAACATCTTTGTTTGCATGTGGTGCTGAGGATCGAACCCGGGCCGCACGCATGCCAGGCGAGTGCGCTACCGCTTGAGCCACATCCCCAGCCCCTCAAGATATATTTTTTGAGCAAGGTGGTCTTTAAGCACAAGTCATGAATTTCTTCTGGTGTTCAACCAGAGGATCTGTTCTGCTCAACAATGAGGAAAAACTGTATCTGCTGGACCCGAGGAAGGTGCCTCCCCAAGGAGCCCTGAATGTGCGTCCCCAGGTCCTTATGTTCTAAGCCACACCCCAAGGTAATAGCATCAAGAAGTGGGACATGTGGGAGCCTCAAAGGATTAGGGCCCTATCCCTCAGAGGGACTTCTGAGATGTCCTCACCCCTCTATTGTCATTTATGAACCAGGAAGTAGTCCTGACCACACATAAACCTGCAGCACCTTGATTGTGGACTTCAGCCTTTAGGACGAGGAGAAATTGATTTCTGTGTTTTTTGTTTTTTTTTGTTGTTTTTAAACTGGGGATTGAACTCAAGGATGTTTCATTACTGACTTTTATTTTGAGGCAGGGTCTCACGAAGTAGCTTAGGGCCTAGCTAGGTTGCTGAGGCTGGCCTCAAACTTGCCATCCTCTTGCCTCAGCCTCCTGAACTGCTGGGATCACAGGTGTGGCCCCTGCACCCAGGAGTTCAGAGCATTTTGTTAAAGCAGCCCCAACAAGTTAAGACATCTCCCAGGGCTGGGGTTGTGGCTCAATGGTAGAGCGCTTGCCTAGCATGCATGAGGTACTGGGTTCCATCCCCAGTGAAAGGAAAGTGACCACAACACTTGGAGCAACCAAGAGATCTTTATTGCAGCAGTGCAACAGAGGAGAAAAGAGAGAGAGAGAAGAAGAAGAAGAAAGAGAGAGCAAGGGAGAGCGAGAGCAAGGGAAAGCAGAAGCAAGAGAGGGAGACAGAGCAAGAGCAAGAGTGCAAGAGACAGAGAGCAAGGGAGAGAGGGGCCCGGCAGGAGGGAGATTTTATAGCCCAAATCTAATGGGGTCTCGGGGTCTGCAAGCTGCCTTGTTGGCACAAGGGGGGTTAAGTGTCCAGCCTTGACTGGGGGGGCGTGTTGAGTCTCAGCCTTGAGCAGGGGAGTGAAGTGTTCAGACTTGATGCAAACAGGTGATAAAGGACCAGACGGAGGGGGGTTTGAGTGTGTGGGCCATCCTGTAGCTAACATTCGTTCATCCTGCCCGGCAGACAACTTATTCAGCCTGTCCTGCACCTAACATTCCTCCCTTTTTGTTTTTCTAGGTGACATGGGGGCGGCGTTAAATCCTCTGGCTACTTCCTGCTTAATGGTGGGCGGCGTGGGAGCTAGGAGGGAAAGTGGAGGGATGTTCGGGGGACAGGTCTGAGAGCACCAGGGCAGCCAGAAATAACACCCAGTGGCTATAGACAGTTATCTCAGAAGGGGCAAAGTCCATAAAGTTCCTTGAAGCCATAGGTTGTCAAAGGCATCAAACCATTTCTGAGTGGAGGAGATCTTTGGCATCAGCCATTGGTCTGTTGTAGGGACTCTAGGAAGTATCGGAGGTGGCTTGGTTGAATTCAGTAATGGTAAGGGTGACAGCCCGATTGCAGGCAGTGGAAGGACAATCACCTTGACCCATAAACTGAGAGTGGGTGGTGTCATCCTGGTGCCATGTCGCTTGGATGTAGAAGTGGCATCTGTGTTTTCAGATAAAAACTTGAGAGAGATTGATGATTAGTAAAAGAAGAAGAGAGTTGGGTGTGGAGGAAGTCTAGGACTGGACATTTGGAACAGGTGCTTTTTTAAGATGGGAGACATGGTACTAGGGAGAGTGTCTAAAAGCTTGGTCACCATTGGGATAGTAAGTATGACTGCAGGGGGTCCCGTCCAGGGAGGTTCCAACGATTGAGAATGCAGTTCCTGAAGTAAGACTGTGTCATCTTGTTGAAGAGGGTCCAATTCAGTTTGTGGTTTTGCTGGGATTGAGGCAATGAATGGTGCAGGAAGGCACCGGTCTGAATGTTCCCTTAGGAGTTTTCATAGAAGTGTTAGATTAGGCAATGTTATAGTTAAAGCTTCGCCCCAGGGTTTCATAAACTGACTTCCAGACCACTCATGTATAATCGAATCAAGCCTTTATTGAAGCACACCGGTGGCGGCTGACCAGAACATAAAGCTGTTCCCTTGATCAGTCCCGAACAATTGCAAGGGCACTCCTTAGAAGCCTGAAAACCGCAAAAGGGATGTTTGGGGGGTCTAGCCAATGCAAGCCAGCCAGGTTACAGAAGCGGGACAGTGCAGTCAAGCAGGGGGAAGCCTAACCAATCACAGTTAGCCCAGTCACCCCAGTTACAGAAACAGAGCCCCGTTACCCTAGTTATAGAAACAATGCCCCATTAGGTAGTTCCATATTCTTAAAGGTTTCTATAGCAAAAGGAGAAGAACATCTTGCTCCAGTCATGACCCTTCTACTTGTCCTGGTTGTTTTACAGGATGAAGTCATAAAACAAAATGGAGTCACATTTGCTCCTACTATCACAGCAGGTAGGACACAAGGGAGGAGGAGTGATGGGAAAGCTTTGGTTGGTTAAGAAAGGGCACCCACAGAGTTGCTCAAAGGGGCTAAGGCCTGAGGGAGCTCCAGGGGCTGCCTGAATTCAGATGAGGGCCAACTGCAGGAGATTGGGCCAGAAGAGCCTGAGATCAATAGCAAGTTTAGTGAGATGATCCTGGAGAATGACATTAGGCCTCTCAGCCTTACCTGGTGGGGGATGTGGAGCCTCTAAGTGACTAAGTGACGTTGAGGCCTTTGGAGACTAGTTGAACAACCTGAGAAGTGAAGGCCGGACTGTTGTCTGACTGGGTGGAGGTAGGAAGTTCGAACCTGGAAATATCTGCTGAATGAGGATGGAGGCTACAGTGTCAGCAGTTTCCCTGGAGGTAGGGAAGGCTTCTCTCCAACCTGAAAAAGTATCAACCAAAGTAAGTAGGTAGCGAAGCTTTTTGTGCCTAGGCATGTGGGTGGAGTTGATCTACCAGTCTTCGCCTGGCTGGTGGCTCCTCATCTGAGGTGTGGGGAGCTTAGGTTTGATGCTTCCTTGTGGGGATGCTGTAGAGCAGGTAGAACAAGCAGAGTGGACCTGCCGGAGAGTAGTTCTCATTCCTAGGAAGTGAAAGAGGTGTTGTAAAATCTGGAAAAGGGATTAGGGAGGGTTTTAGGTGGGGGTAGAGTCTCTGGAGCTAGAGGAGTTGGTCAGGAGTCATAGGTCTCTGTCTTGGGCACCAGGGCTGGTAGTCTTGAAGAAGTAGTTAATTGACTGACTGGTTGGTGAATTTGTGTATCTGATCTTGCAGGAACTTCTGTAGGCAATTTAATAGACATGGTCCTAATAGGAGAAGAGAAAGAGGACTAATAGGGGTCCTGCGAGGGGGAGGAGCCAAGGCCATACTTGACTGAACATTCCCCATGGAGCCTGTTGCCTTAGTTGCTGTCTCCTCTTTTCTAGTTGTTCTTGACCTTCATTACTCCCAGGAATGACTGTGTTTTGGCTTAACTGTTTTGGGTAGGTGTTTAAGATCAAGCTGGTCAAAATTGACTTTGTTTCTATCTATTGTTAAGAGTCAGCCACGTTCCCATAGGGGTCAGTCATGGGGGAACTTGAGAACAGCTTCTTAGTTCTGCTAGTGCCATTTGTGGATGGGTCCAGGTCTTGCTTGACCATGTGGCTTCCCTTGGAAGCTTCAGGGATGTCTCCTGTCTCCAATGACCCTCCTATTCACAGCAAGTGCACTGATTGGCTTTTCATTCTCCAGTGGTCTCATTAATCTCCCTGATCAGGAGGTTATGTGGCCCAGGTTGCAAAGCTCTTTAGAGAAGTTCCCTGTTCCCTGGATTCAGACTGACTCAGAGGGCCAGAGCCAAATATTGGTTTTCTTGGCCCTTTTAATTTAACTTTAAATCTTGATCATAAATAGCCAGCAAAGTCATTTTGACATGTAGTAAGATGGGAGGCAGAGCCTTATCTCTGGTAAGGCAAGGCTCTTTATAAATCTTAGGTAAAGTGTTTTAGTATTGAAGTTGATCTTTGTTTCTTAAATATCATTTTATAAAGTTTATATATATTGTTGCTTGAAGTCATATGAATACTAGCTAACACAATATGATATTACATTTAAATTGTACCCAGTGTATAGAACTTCATATTTATCTTATTGATAACAGGTCCAGTTATAGAAAATTAAATGATATAAATAAATCTCCAATATGTTATTTTTATAAGCCTAAAATTACCATGCAACCTTTTGGAGAACACCAGCTTGATATAATATTTTTTTTTTTCTCTGTTCTGGGCAAGTTAACCCTTCAAGGACACCTGGGAAGAGGAGAGCTTTTCCTTCCCTTTCTTTCCTCCCCCTCCAGCTGTTACCATGGAGCCCAGTTGGTAACTTCCTTATCTTAGAAATGTAGCCATCTCTGAGAAGCCCCAGCTCAAGGCCAGAGGCCTACATATTTTTGTGAAAAACTAGTAAGGGGGTGTCCAGCACCTGGAGTGCTGATTTTTCCAGCCAGTGACCAAGTAAAACAGGGCAACACGAAAAGAGGGAAGTTTATCTACACTGAACTCTTTTGTAGAGATTCTTTTGCTGAAAGTCCTAAAATCAGCCATGGTGAAGATTCTGGAGAAGGTCAGTTAAGACTTTTCTGTGGCCTGGGTAGGGAGTGGGAAGAGGGGAAGGCGGGGCTGAGAGCAGCTCCGTGGATCTGAGGATGAGGAAGGAGATGTGAAAGAAGAATGGGAAAGGGGTTTGGGATTTTCCTAGCAAGGAAACTTGAGCAGCAGAACAGGTAGAGCAGAGGGGAAGACGGGAGTGAGTATCCCAAAAAGCCTGTGAGGGACTTTAATTCTTAGTAACCTGTTTTCACTGATGACAAAGCAACTTTAAAGGCCATTTTCACCAGATCTTGGATAGGGGTCTGAGGGCTCTCCTCAGCTTGTTTGAGCTTCATTGAGATCTCACTCCCGGGCAGAACTCGGACCCACAGAGGGGACAGGGGAAGGGTCTGAGGAGAAACCGCGTGGCAGCTCGACTGGACTGGACTTTTATGGGTTTTACAGCAGGAAGGGAAGGGCTTGGGACAGGAAAAGGTGTTTTTAGGGTCCCTTGTCCCCTTGGAGTTGGTCAGGGGAGTTGGCTGAACTCCAGGATTGGCCAGGGGGTCCTGCTGATTGACAGGCATTAGTCAGGAGATCTGGCTGATTGACAGGCATTTCCGCTGGCACCTGATTGATATGTCCCCCCCCCCCACAGGCTGCTTTGTTCTAAGTCGCCCTCAAGTCACCACCATCAACCTAACAGTTACCAGTCCTTTGAGGGAGACCTACAAAGCCTATGCTGGTAAACTACCAGCTGAGAAGGGGAAGGGGAATAATTTTGAACCCAAGAGTCCAATCTGCCCAAGGAAGGAGTCCCTGAGGGCCACCGTGGCCTTACAGGCTGTGGTGGGTGAAGAGGTTTGCCGGACAATCAACGGTCAGATCCTCCCGATGCCACCACTGAGTTTCCACGAAGGGGAAACTCACCAATTGAAGGCCGGGGTGGATGGAGTTCTGGCGGTCAAGAAAATGGGTTCAGGCTGACCAGTGAGTGGCACTTCCGGAAGAGGGACCCTAAAAGTGGGTTTTAACCCTCTTCCCAGGTTTTGGCACCAACGAAAGGAAAGTGACCACAACACTCAGAGTGACTAAGAGACCTTTATTGCAGCAGTGTAACAGAGGAGAAAAGAGAGAAAGAAAAAGAGAAGGAGAGAGAGTGAGAGAGAGAGAGGGGGGGGGGAGCGCGACAGAGACCAACAGAGAGGGCCGGCAGGAGGGAGTTTTTATAGCCCAAATCTAATGGGGCCTCTGGGTCTGCAAGCTGCCTTCTTGGCCCAAGGGGGGTTGAGTGTTCGGCCTTCAGCAGGGGGGAGGGGGTTGAGTGCTCAGCCTTGAGCAGGGGGGTGAAGTGTTCAGCCTTGACACAAACAGGTGATAAAGGACCAGACAGAGGGGGTTTGGGAGTGTGGTCATCCTGCAGCTAACATTCCTTCAGCCTGTCCTGCACCTAATACCCAGCACCACATAAAAACAAACTAAACGAAGTAAAGGTATGTGTTCATCTACAACTAAAAGAATATTATAAAAAAAAAAAAGACATCTCCCAAATACCCGGCTTCCTAGCACCATCACTTTGACGTGAGATTTCAGTATGAATTTGGGGACACAGACACTCAGTCTGTGTTCTGTAGGATTGTCTGTGGGGCAGGCCTAGAGGAGATTCTGGGGATTAGAGCTGGTGAAGAAGCAGGGAGCAGCCTCCTGGCCAGAGGGCCCCCACAAACAGGTCACTGATCAGGGTGACACCCTGGTGTTTTGGGAGCAGAGGGTGAGACGGGTGCTTTGAACAGGGTGTGGGTGGGTTTGGGGCTGAGGGGAGGCAGACATTCTGAGGCTTGTTCAGCATGTTGAGAAAGTGGTCACAGGAAACCCCGGAGTCCTGTCTGCCTGGGCCCCACTCGGTGGCATTCTTATCAGCCTGTTTCCCACAGGAGTCTTAAGATCAGGTTACCTGCTCAGATAGCATTGAGCAACCACTTGTGGAGGTGGGGCAACTCTCAGTAACAGAAGTGAGTCTCTGGGGTCAACAGAGGAGCGTCAGGGGGCTGCCTTTTCAGAGTTACCGGTGGCGAGTCCTGCTCCCCACAGGTTGAAGTACACCTTTGGAGAAGCACAGAGGCAAGCAGGTAGAGCAGGGTTTATTTAAAAAGGGGTCACATATTCTCCAGGGAGCGAGAAGGGGGCCACAGCTGGTGTCCTGGTACCTCAAAGTGAGAGCGTCTGCCTTTTGTTCTAGGTCCTGGGCTTCCTTTGTTCTCCTCTGCCCCCACCCCCCTCTCCCTCCTTCCTGCGCAGGTGACCAGGCCCAGGGGACGCTCAGTGGGATGGCCAAAAGGTGAGGAGCAGATGGCTGGAGGGGCCAAGGCGGAGTGACCAGGGCAGGAAGGGGGTTAACAACTCCCTCAGGAGGGACAGAGCCTGGGACAGGTGACCTTAGCCACAGGTTGGAGCAGGGCAGGTTACCTGATAAGGGTGGAAGGAGGGCTGTGAAGACAGGAGCATTTCAGTTCCTCAGGGGCAGTCTCCAATTCCAGGACCCAAACTGGCCTCGGTTCTCTGAATCTGACTCTTGCCTATCTGCACTGAAGGCCTGTCTTTAATTCTGGCTTCATTATTACGGAGAGTGTGAATTATCTGCCAGTCTTCAGAAGAAGTACTGTTGAAACAGACTCAGAGCCGATCACTTCTGGTTGGTTGTATTTTCAACTTTTATTCTTAAAAACCCAGGTTGAGAAATAATTGCAGGATTTAAAGACCTATGTACCCAAGCCTCAGTCACAAGGGGATGACTAATACCAGCAAGAATTGCAGCAATTTTTAGACTGGGTTCAGAAAGGCAGCGAGTCCCAGGAACAAAAGGCAAGTTCGAAGCTCTGCGGGGAGTGAGGCTGACCTTTGCAGAACTCAGTGACTAGCCCACCTGGTCCCTCTTCCTCTGAGTTCAGAGGCCTGTGGGTTGCCTCCCCAAAGGAAGCATGTCGCCTTCTGGGGCAGTTCTGGAACAAGGGCCGGTCTTCTTGGGCCCCCTGAGTTACCTGATGGAGGGCAGGCCAGGCTCCCTGCTTCAGCCCACCTGGAGGCCCCTGGCTGCCCCTTCCTACAGCCAGGTCAGCCTCCTGGCCTGCTGCTCCCTGGACAGTGCCTCTCTGGTGCTGTCCCCCTGAGGGCAACCCTGAGGACTGACTCTGAAGCAGGCTGTCCACTCTAGAAGCCTCTTGACCCCTAGAGAAACAGGCTACATATAGACAGGCGTGTCCCACCACAGGTGACCCATGACGACACTGGGGAGCAGGGAGGCAGACACTCTGGGGACCCACGTCCTCCTCCTCCTCTTTCTCCCACTCTTGCTGGGTCCCTCCTTCCCCAATCAACCAGGAATCTGCTCCCTTCACTCTGTGGAGCTCAGAGGAGCCTCAAGTCCAGCTATTCCTCTAGCCTACGGCCATCTCCACTTCCCACTCCAACTGTCCTTCCTGCTCCTAGGGCACCCACTGACCCAACCTGGCCTCCAGCTGTCCCTGAAGCATCCCACATGTGGCCACAGGACCCCCAGGCCCTAGTCCCACCTGCACTTTGGCGTCCCCACCTCTGCCTCTGCCTTGGTGGTGCCCTCTGCCGAGGTCCCCACCCCAGCTTGGCCTTGGGCAGGTTCCCACCTTGGTTTTCAGTACTGGGGGTTAACATAGGGGCCCTCTGGCCCTCGAGAAAGAAGTTTTAGGTAAGGCCTCACTAAATTGCTGAGGCTGGCCTCAAACTGCCTGGGCGTCTTGGATTGCTGGAATCCCGGGCATGCACCCTGTGTCCCGCTTCCCTGTCTTCAGGTGTGGAACAGCCACGGTCAATGTCACAGCTGCAAGCCACGGGTGGCTGCAGCACTGGGATGGGACTGGTCCCCGGTGACACTCGTCATTGGTGTCATATGCATGCTGGGTGTAGACTGGAAAAAGACCCTGTAAAACCTCTCTTATACTGATTGTGTGTTTGAATAACATTTTGGATTTATTGGGGTAAATAAAATGTATTATTAAAACTTTTTCCAGTTTCTTTTCTTTTCACCAAGTTGCCGAGGCTGGTCTGGAGTTCCCGGGCTCACGCAACCCTGGGGCCCTCTGACTACAGATGCAGCCACGAGCCTGGCTTCTCCTTGTTTTTATTCTATTCTACTCTATTTATTTATTTATTTATCTTTGGCACTGGAGACTGAACCCAGCAGTGCTTAACTACCGAGCCATGTTCCCAGCTCTTTTTATTTAATATTTATTTTGAGACAGGGTCTTGCCAAGTTGCTTAGGGCCTCGCTAAGTTACTGAGGCTGGCTTTGAACTTGCCATCCTCCCGCCTCAGCCTCCTGAGCTGCTGGGATTGCAGGCGCACTGCCATGCCTGGCATGTGTCACTAGAGTGGACGGTGCAGTGGGCTTGCATTCCAGCTGCCGGGCTCTGCTGTTCTACTTCCATCTCAGTGTGCCTCTGCTGCCTGGAGCCGGAGCACAGTCCTCCCTGCCTATATCCCTGTGCCTGGCACTGCCCAGACACTCAGCAGATGCCAGGTGCTTGCCAGAGAGCCAGGGAAGCCCTTGATTTACACCCTCTTCCTGCTGGGGGTGGCTGGGGGTCATCACAGCAGGTGGGCTTGCCTTCCTCGAGTGCAGGTGTCACAGATGAGAGTGCTGGTGGGGCTCTGTGGGAGCTGGGTCTTCTGCCACCTTTCCTGTGCCCTGGGGCTCTCCAGTGGAAGAGCAGGTCACAGCACTGTCCTGGCTCTGGCAGGAAGCAAACCTGAGTTCAGTTATTCTGTATTCAGCAACGTTTTTTAAACGAAACTTTGGCGTATGTTCCATTTATAGAAAGTGATACTTAGTTGTGGAGTCAGAGAGACAATGAAGCTTGTTCCAGAGCTCTGTGGTTTTTCCCAGCAAACCAGCCACTTCTGCTGCCTGTGGTGCTAACCTGTGAATTCACAGGCTCCCAAGGTCCAGGTGGTCCACAGCTCTAGGCCAGTTGGATGACCCTTTGTCCTTGAGAAGCTGTAGGACCTTCAGGGAGAAGACGGGTGTGCCTCAGCCACGTGAGAACAGGCTTCCTCAGGTCATATCCAGGCAAAACGTGCTGGCCTGCACTGCCCCTGTGCTAATGGATTTGGGTCCTGGTGTTGGCGAGGAGACCTTCTTTCCTAGAACTGAAAATCAAGCTCTTCTCTGGGCCAGCTGGAGGTTCAGGCTGGACCTGTCATGGCAAACCCCCTGATCCATACATCGCCTGGCTCAGTGGCAGGCCTTGGGCTTCCAGGACTCCCCCTGCTGGGGTCCTGGGACAAAGTAGAAAGGTCAGGACCCCCGCTGGACCATCCGCAGGGCAAGTGGAGTCATTGGTGGCGCTGTAGTGTCGAGGTTAGACACACTTTAAAGGTGCATGGTCATGAGGGAAGGCAGGCAGTGAGGTGGGCGCTCCAGAAGACAAACTTCAGAGGAGTCACTGAAGGTGATCTGTGGTTCTGGGGCCAACAGGGAAAAGTTGAGCGTGAACTGTGAGTGAATGGGGATCGACCTCCTCTGGCTGTGGGGAGGAGGCCACTCTGGTGCCTGCAGTTTCGTCAACAATTGACTCTGAGCTCAGTCCAAAGGAATGAATAGCCAGGTGCAGTGGCCACACCTGTGATGCTAGAGACTTGGGAGGCTGAGGCAGGAGAATCACTCATTTGAATCCAGCCTCCACAACTTAGTGAGATCCTGTCTCAAAATAAAAAAATAAAAAGTGTGGGAGACCAACATTACCCATGACTGAGTCACACTCCCTGGCTGGGTGCTGAGGTGTTCAGTCACAGAAATGTGACAGAGCTTTCCCCACCCTTCTTGGGTTCAAGGTTCAGTGTCTCTTGCATGGGTGTGTCTTGCTACAGCCCCATGGGTGGAGCTACGCTCACCTGTTCCTTTGTAATATAACCCCTTGCCCTGTTTAGGATAGAATCTTCCATGGAAGTGCCTTGTGTGTGTCCCCTTCTCTTACTGTGCCTTTGGGTGTGGCCTACCCAGGTGTCAGTCAACCTGCTGACAGTGCACATCAAGATAGACTCTGCCCCCTGAAACTGACCCCTTGCCTCATTTGAATAGCTTCTCCTCAATAAAAGGGGTCAGCAGGGTCAGCATGTGCTCTAGCTCTCTATTCCTGCAGACCCTTAAGGTCAGAGGAGCTGTCACAGCGACCCAAAGAAAAAGGTATCTGTGTCTCGTGTGGTTATTTTCAGTCAGCCCAGTTCAACTGGCTCAGTAAACCCTGAGCCTTTTAGTCATGAGCGAGAACAGAAACCCGGCAAAAAATAACTGGGGATGTGGCTTGGGTAAAGTGCCCTGGGTTCACTCCCCAGTACCACAAAACAAAACAGGATAAGCAGAAGGCAAGGTGTGGAAATTGGCTCTTGACAGAAGGGGGTTCTGCAGGTGCCCAGGAGGTGAGGCTCCAAGGAGGAGTCTCTTCAGCTTGGACCTCATGGGCACACAGCCAAAGAAACCCCTTTGGACGTGGGTGTGTTCTGTGTGCGCAGTGCTGGGGATGGAACTCAGGGCGAGCATGCTGGCCAACTGCTCTGCCACTGAGCTGCATTCAGTGTGACTCAGCGCAGGCTTGTGGAGGCCTCCTGTGCTGAGGCTCGGTGCTGAGCTGCAGCCTCTGGACCAGCCTCCCCCAGTGCTGCCACCCCTGGGGACGCTGGGTGATGAGGTGGGCCTGGTGGCCACAGTCAAAAACCAAATACGAATCTGAGGGCAAAGACACCTTTTTTAATAGGTATGCAGCTTTGAGGACTACTGACAAACCTTGAAGACACGGATACAACTGGATCGTAAACAGCATCCTTGCCAGCACAGGTAGGTAATTGAGAGAAAACACACACAACAATCAAAGGACAGACCCAACTTCATAGTCTTCCTGACAATAACAATTGTTTCCAGGGTTTCCTCATATTTCATTTTTGTGCTTTTAGTCTAAGAAGTTAGAAAGGATAATAAATCTGTCAAGTCTGATACCAAATTGTACAAAATTGTCCAGACCTATGGAGGAGGGGCGAGATGATCATTTTACAAAACATTGCTGCTATGATCACCAGCATCCATTTACATTTTCCTTTCCTAGACTTTCAAGACTCCTTGGCAATTTTACCAGGAAAATAACATGCATCAAATAGAAAACACATATTCTTTATGTAGCATATTCTTACTGGGTGGTATAGGTCATGAAAGTTAAAAAAAAAAAAAGTTTTTATCCTTCCTTGTCAAACTATAGGCATTAAAACAAACCACAGGAAGCCTATTTGGCCAGCACACACGATGGAGTCAGCCAGACCCTGCAGGACAAAGGACACAAGAAGCGCACAGCCCCACGGGTCTGACGCTGGCAATGCGCTCAGGACAGGCAGGCCTGTGGACATGCCGAAGGCCTGGCGAGTCCCCAGAACACGTGCACCACCACTGCCCTGGTGCAGCTCAACATCTTTGGCCATACGACCTATCTTTAAAGCTGAAAACTATTAAAAAATATTTTGGCCAAGAATAGTGAACATTTTAAAACGAAAAACTGAAAGCATTTGTTCCCTTCACCTCATGGTTTGTGATGCTGGTTTTGACTGTGACCTTAGTGAACACCCTGAAACCATGCAGCTACAACCCCTTTACGCTGTGTGGGAGGGTCTCACTACATGGCTACTTAACTGC